ACAGAGAGGCACTATAAATGAAAAGGCCTTTGTAGGTCAGGGTAGGGAGAATGATAACTTATCAAAGTGGGAAGGCAAAGTATCTTGTACATTTATGAACTTCTGTGAGTCCTTTATATTGTTTTAGCATATTTCAGGGTAGTGAAATAAAGGTTGTTCAGCATCTTAAATATATGATGATCTGACTGCTGGCATGAGAGCTGAAGGTCCTTTTATTCACCTCCGTAGAGTCCTCAATGTGATCTGTACTCCAAGATTTCCAGGGGAATCCTGGGTCGGGGCAAACCTAGATGAAGAGGACGATTTATAAGAATTGCCCAAGATTGAAAAGTCTTTGCAAAGCCAGAGCTTTGAGGTTCCTGGCCATGGTTTAGCTTTAAAATGTTCTTTTCTGACTTACACTGAACCTCTTCCTTTAAATAATTTCCCTCCACTTTATTTTGGTCTCTATACACCAGGTTATGGGTGGACAGCTTCAAATTGATACTATTGGAAATGGTAGAAAGAAAATTAAGCCCTGAGAGTTCTCTAGAATTTCTGAAACTCCACCTAACTTTGATCCATGTTTGAAAAGACCTCGGCCCAAATGCTGTCTCAGTTTTAGCTTTTCTACCAATTTAAGTTGTTACTTTGAAAAGCTTACTTGTGAAAAATAGACATTTTTATTGATTTTAAAATTCTTTCCAGAAAAAAAGGAAATTGAAATGATGTCTCCTGGTATTTTGTCCAGAGAGGATTGTGAGAAATAAAAGAATGAACAACATCCATTGAGCTGATAAATTTCTCTTATACATGAGTAGCTAATGGCCACACAGCAACTCTGTTGAGGAGATTATTGGCCATGAATAATCTATAAACTGTGTACTATAGAGCAATGAGGACACCAGCCAGGACATGTAAATGGTTCCAAGCAAGCCATCATCCTTGAAAATAAGGACAGACTATGTGATCAAAAGCCTGTTGCAGTCAATGATATGGCCAAATGATTTTCTTCTGTTTATGGACAACCCAGCAATAATTTGAATTGACTTTCCCATTTTCCAATTAGAAATCAGAATCCAACTAAATGGGAAACATGAAACTCTAACCAGTGAGGTTTGAAGTTTTCTGGTGCCTAGCACCATTCATCAAAGAAACATGAAGATGCCAAAAGGGGCACAGTGGCCTAGCACCAGAACAGTTAGTCAATAAGCAAGCATTTATTAAATATTTACTATGTGTTGAGCATTGGTCTAAGCAATGTATTATAAAGGCAAAATCCATTCTTGAGCTTACATTCTAATGAGAGATAGAACATGTAAATAAATAAGTAGATACAAGATAGATATAGAGTAGATGGAAGGTAATCTGAGAGGAGAAAAGACTAGCAACTAGGGGGACTGGGAAAGACCTCCTTCAGATAATGCTTTTGAAGCTAAGTCTTGGAGGAGCAAAAGGCAGAGGTGAGGAGGAAGAGCATTCTAGGAGAGATGGCCAATGAAAAGGCTCTGAGTTGGAAAAGGAAGAGTTGTACAGGAGGAAAAGAAAAAAGGCTAGGATTGCTGGATCATAGAGGAGAGAAGGCTGGAAAAATATGAAGAAGCCAGGTTATGAAGGTCATGAAATGCCAGACAGAGGGTTTTCCATTTGATCCTAGAGGTAATAGGGAACCACTAGAGTTTATTGAGTAAAGGGGCTGACATGGTCAGACCTACACTCCAGCAGCAGCACTGCATTGCAAGAACTACAACAAAGGCATGGAGTACCAGGTTCTCACACATATTAGGCACTTACTAAGTCCTTGTTGAAAATTGAATTGAATGAAGATTTCCATGGATGGGGAAGGAACTCAGTATTCCAGGGCTCTTCCCTATTAACCATTCAAAGTATGTTGAACTCAAGGAATTCATCATGTCCAAACCAGGGCATATTTAGAAGAAAGATACACATGCCTGTCAGGTTGCTGTTAGAGGAATCTAAATACCAGACAAGGTATATGACAGTAGCTCTCTTTAATCTTCCCTGAGCTGTATTATCTCCAAATTAAATACCTATAAAAGGGGCCTCTCTCCCAACTTGGTCCTAATCATTATAAATAATTATCACAAATATATTAAAAATGAGATGGCAAGAGACAAGCTGCTTTGGCCACCTGGTTTGCTGACATTTGTCCTCACCATGATGTGGAAAGAATGAGATGGAGTGTTCCATATCAAGCAGCATTAGCCTTGATGCTGATTCCCAAATCCTGGCAGATTGTAAGTCATCCAAATTAATTTTAGCCTCATTGAGTGCTTTATAATCCTCACCATCCAGAAGTCCTTCTGCGGATGTGTATCCATCTGCAGTTGCCAAGAAGAAATCCAAAGCTTTGCTTAAAATAAGCACATACTTTCTTACTCTCCCTACTTTCATAATTCAAGTATGTGCTCCATACAAAATGAACAATTACCCAAGAGATAACATTTCTCTCTCACCCTTGACTAATGATAATTAGAATCCCAAGATTTAAGAGTGAGAAGGAAAGGGCTATCAGAGGCCATCTGGCTCAATCCATTTTGTTGTTGTTCAGTTGTTTCAGTCATGTCTGACTCTTCATGACCCTATTTGGGTTTTCTTGGCAAGATATTAGAATGGTTTGTATTTCCTCCTCCAGCTCATTTTACAGATGAGGAAAATGAGGTAAATAGGGTTAACTGACTTTCCCAGAGTCACACAACTAGTAAATATCTGAGGCCAGATTTGACCTCAGTTCTTCCTACCTCCAGACCTGGTGTTCTATTCACTATGCAACCTAGCTGCCCTAACTCAGTCCATACCCAAAAGAAATCCCCAATATAACATCCTGGACAAGTGGTCATCCAAAATCTGCCTACACCTCTAATGATAGAGAATCAGCTACCTCTCGAGGCAATTCATTCTATTTTGGCATATCTCTAATTGTTAGGAATTTTTTCCCAGACTTCAAATCTAAGTTTTTCTCTTGGCAATTTCTACCCATTGCTCCTGGCTCTGTGCTCTGGGGCCAAACAGAGTAAGTGTAATCCTTTAAAATACCTGAATAGAGCACCACCTTGAATTTAAGCACCACCACCTCCATAGGTCCTCCTTTTTCCATGTTAAACATCCCCAACTCCCTTAACATATTCTCATATGACAAGGACTGAAGGCTATCGCCATTCTGACTCCCTTCCTCTCAACGCTGTTCAGTTTATCAATGTCCTTTTCAAGCCATAATACATAGAACAGAACACAATTTTTAAGAAACCATAAAAATATCCTTCTAAATAAAGGAGAAAAGGGCAGATCAGAATTTGTGGCTTAGATCATCAACACTGAAGGCTAGATTCATCCATTGTAGTTCATCAAATTAAGAGTGTGTTTTATCGCCGTCCTCTCATGGCCTTTTTTTTTGTTTTACCCTTAAGGTTGTTTCAGACTATTAGTAAGATCTGGGATCTCTACTATTAAATTATTATGGCCTTATAGATGTTGAATTCAATTCCATTCCACAGCATTTGCTAAGTTCCTACTGTGTACCAGGCACTGTGCTTGGTGGTGGAAATAACAAAACAGTCTCTGCGCTGTAGCAGCTTAAGCTTCTAAGGGGAAATACATAAGTAAATATGAGATAAATACAAGATAAACAGGGGAAAGAGATCAGGAAAAGCTTCACCAAGGAGGTGGTACCTAAGCTGAACTTTGAATGTGGAGAAGGATTCTTAAAGGCAGAGAAGAGGAAAGTGGAAAGTCAGTCAAGCCTGGGAGATGTTCTACATGAATACATAGTTGTGAAAGATGGAATGGAAGATTTGAGGAACAACTCAGAATCCAGCCTGGCTGGAACACAGAATTCATGAAAGAGAGAAATATGAATTTCCTAGAATGTTAGGTTGGAGTCAGATTGTGGAAAGCTTTAAATGCCAGGAAGATGAGTTTGTGGATTTTATTCCTGGAGACAAAAGGGAGCCATTGAATGTTTTTGAGTGTCAATCAATAAGTATTTATTAAGCACTTATATGCTAGGTACTGTGCTAAGTAGTGGGGATTCAGATATAAGCAAAAATAAAGACAATCCTTGCTCTCAAGCAGTTTACATTCTAACGAGGAAAGACAGCACAGAAAAGGGAGTTGAACAGTGGAGGGTGGGGAGGAAAGCACTAAAGTACCCTCAGGAGGGCATAATCACAAAGTTCAGGGACTCAAAAGTAGAGCCAACAGAAGAATGAAGAATGGCTGGCCTGGAGTCTTTCCTAAAAGTGGAGGAATTCATCGATGGGAGAAAGGGTCAGTGGGGTGGAAGGATATTCCAGAGTAAGAAGGCCACAGAGAAAAGATTTTCTCAGGTGAAAAGGCCATGGAAGAAAGAGAATTACATGGCCAAAACTGTGTTTTAGGAAGTTTATTTTGGCAGCAATGTGAAACATAGATTGGAGAGGGAACCATTTAGGAAAGCATTACAACAGTCCAGGCAAGGGATGATGAACCCTTAGTTGGAACTAGAAACCGAAATGCTCTCTCTCCTTGCCTCTTTCTCTGAGAATCTCTTGTCTCCTTCAGATTCAGTTTAAGCAGCATTTTCTATAGGAGGGGCTTTTCCTGGGACCTCCAGTTTCTAGTGTCCTTTTTTCAAAATTATCTTGTGTCTATTGTATCATGTATTTATATATGGTCTCCTCCAAGATAAGCTTCTTGAGGACAAGAACTATTTCACTTTTTGTCTTTGTACCCTGAACACCCAGAACAGTCCCTGGCACATAGAAAATGCTTTATAAATGCTTGTTGACTAATTCATTGAGAGTCTGAAATGCAAAGTAATTCTATCCGTAACAGTTCCATGGCCAATAATGTAACAAACCTAACCAACTCCCAATTATCCACATACAGATTTTCCACATCATGAAGTATCCAATAGCACACTTTTCATCCCAGCTTGGCTTCCTCTTTTCAGCCATCCTTCTCCTCCTGTGGTCAACTGATGACGCATACTTAAGGAAAGAAAACTGATCTTACCGTTAGAATGTAACAAGCCTAACCAATTCCCAATTAGCCATATACGGATTTTCCACATCATGAAGTATCCAACAGCATACTTTTCATCCCAGCATGGCTTCCTTTTTTTAGCCATCGTTCTCCTCCTGTGGTCAGCTGATGATACATACTTAAGGAAAGAAAAGTGATTTTGCCATTAGAATGAGCAAAGTATAATTAGAAGGATAAATCTTATTTTAAAATTTCCCAACATGCTCTAAAGCTGAACATAAATGCTCTAACTTCTTTGTTTTGAATTATCCTCACTGCTGATCTTCTCCATCAGCAGATTATCAAGTCTTGATTGGACAAGCCAGCATCCACTGAGCCTTATTGCCACAACAAGTTATTTTTTCTGAATCCAAGTTAGCAAAGCAGTAAACTGGCGGTAGCCTCAGTTATTCACATTAAGGAACAAGGCGAGGTCTGGCAGATTATTGGCTGGCTGGACTAAGGAAGATGCACATGAGGGGCCATAATTAAATGAGGACACTTTATTCCTGAACCTTCTTACTCCTTTTGCCCAAACGAGCTCACTATTAATAATCAATACTGTGCTTTGAGAAGTACTGGGCTTTCTATCGTGATTTTTTGTGTTTCTTTTTTAATCATTAAATGGTGAAACTGAGTCCCCTTCCCTTCTGGCATTTCTTCTCAGTGAAGCCAAAAGGGATTACTGAGGTTTCTTAAAGCATCATCTGAGGTCATTGGTCTAAAAAAAAGAAGGAACTAGTGGCCAGGTCACTTAGGAGGAAGAAGTAGAAGGTGATGAGATTGAGAGGATTTGTATTGGCACTAATTCTGTTCAAGAGGTTTATAGTTTAAGCCAGAAAAACAGATAGGAATTCCAAAATTCTAAAGGGTTGTGATTTTTAAAAGCCATTTCATATGTATGTGTGTATATCTATATACATGTGTATACTTACATGTGCAGGTATGTACATATATGTATGTATATCTGTAATGTATATTGCATATGTACATATATGGGCATATGTTCATCTTTTTCTTTTATCTTATGAGCTTAATCACCAAGAAACATGAATATTTCAATTTTCAAAGAATAAAAAAGTTGTACATGAAACTACAAACTTTTGTTCCATGTATTTCTTTTTAAAGAATGTATTAATTTTAATAAGGTAGTAGCAAAAGTGCCCTGTTTGTGTCCCTTTCTGAACTTCTTTTTTTTCTTCTATGTGCTTTATGTTGTATTGATTCACTTTTCTTTGTTTTGTAAATATCTCTACCATTCTACCTACCTCAACCCCTGCCCCATTTCTTTCTTACTTCTTTCATTCATTCAATAAGCACTTAAGTGCCTTCTCTGTGTCATGCACATGGTAGAAACAGCAGCACTTAATGGATGGAGAGGTTTCCGGGTTAGTAGGACCTGGGTTCAAGTCCTGACTCTGATGCATACAGGCTGTTGAGACTCTTAACCTCTTATTGTCCCAGGCTGTAAATTTTAAGACTATAAATTGCAGAGCTAGACAATGGAGACAGATACAATGATAGAAACAAAATACTCCCTGCCTTCAAGGAGTTTACATTTTACTAAGAGAGAAGTGATACATATACAGATAAGTAAATATAAATATTTACAAATTAAAGTAAAAAGTAATGGGGGAGATGAGACTATAAAAACTGGAAGGGGATTAGAAAAAAACTTCATTAGAACTGAGCTTGGAAGCAAGCTAGGGGTTCCAAGAGGCAAAGGAGATCAAGGAGTGGATTCCAGGCATGGAAGACATTACGTACAAAGACATGGAGATAGAAGATGGAATTTATGAGTAACAGCAAAAGGGCCCTGTTTAATCAGAGAAAGATCCAAGGATAATGGACAGAATATAGGACTTGGGGAAAGGAAATCATTGTTTTATATCTTACCTCTGGCATTCATATGCTAAATGATGCCAAGTACCTCTCCAAGACCGTTTCCTCATCTGTAAAATGACCATAATCATACCTGTAGTATCCACTTCATGGAATGTTGGAAAGTGAAAAGCTCCAATAAGATGACATGTGCATGTAAAGCCCTTTGTAAACTCTAAAGTTTGTATAAGGTTAGTCCCTAAATGATTGAGGTTCCTGTTAATGTCAGTTCCATCCCCAGAGTCATGGCCCCAGGTCACAGAATAACTTAGACACCTTGTGTTATAAGCATTTGGTAAAGCTTTTTTGCCTCTACTATGAATAGGGAAAGAATCTGTGTTCACTCTAAGCCCAATTCAACTTTTTCCCTCATTGCAAGGATTTCACATATTTCTTGCATTTAGCATTGTTCCCAAGCACACATAGTTGCCCATCATCCTTTTCTCCCTCCCAGGTAGTCCCCCCCAACCAAATATTGTCTTACAGGGGTTTTAAAGCCAAATTATTTTGAAAAGATGCAGTTAACAGTCAGTCAGTATATTCTGTTTATCTAAATGGCCTTTGAAATTAAGCTTCTTATTTTTTTGGTAAGAGAAAGAGGTTTGACAGTTCATTTACTTTTCTAGGGCACAGGTCTGCTTCTGAGAAAAGAAGTTGCTGAGTTGAGTCTGCACTAACAGTTCACTTGTCTGGGGCATAGGTCTTCTCAGATTTCTAAAAGCAGCAGTTCCTGAAGTTAAAACTGACTCAGAGTTCTGAGAAATCATTGGCTCATTTGAATGTGACAAGCTGTACAGTGCTAAAGGGGATAGATTTACACATGAAAGATTGGTGAAAATTTATGTTAATAACTGGAGAAGTGTGGGCACTAGAATTGTTCTGTGATTAAGGGATAAATATAATTTACTTGATCATTGACAGAAGATGGACTAGCCATAAGTTGAGGTCATTTGCTGAAAGGACCCAGAGTTTGATCCCAGAAATATGAGAAGTGCAAGAATAGAGTTCAGAATTCTGTTAAAAAGAAAACATAACTTTCATTTTCTATTGTTACTTGTTGCCTGGAAGATTGGTTAGCTGCTGAGCCTGGAGTAGTGCTGCTTTGTCCCCTGTTGATGGTATGAAGAAGGAATAGAGAACATAACATGCTTTCCACTATGACTTACTATGGAGAAAAATAAGAAGAGGAGTGGAGAGGAGTGCCGTGTTCTCTATTATGGTTTTCTGCTGAGAAGTGAAGACAAAAAATATATTTCTGCATTGTCACACGTTGTTACTGAGAGATAGTGAAGAAGAAGAAATAGCCTGCCAAAAAGCAAAGTTAAAGGGGCTTTTGCAAACCTCAGGATAAAAGGTCATTGCTTTTTCCTAAAAGAACATTAGCTAAGGCAGAAATGGGTAGTGATGGATACTGTAATTGCTATCTAGGAGTAATTCCAGCTGAGCAGAGAAACAGCTTGGAAGCAAAGAATCAGAGAGGTCACCCTGAAGATCCACTATGTTTGCTAAGACACCATACCAGGTGAGATGCCAGTCAGACACTTTGTGAATCAACTGAACAGAAGAGTCTGTTTAACACAAAAGCTACATCCATCAAAGAAATTTTATGTACCATTCCTACAACAGAAAGAGGACAACAAAGTTGGATTGTGAGTTACTATGGGTACATAGATTTTTCTAATTCAGATGACTCCTTGGCAGTTTTTTGTAACCGTGTTCCCACTCTTCCCACTGATACTGAGAGCATCAGTGGGAGAGTGTGACCCAGGCTTATGTGTCAATTGTGATGTATTCGTTATTCCTAAATTTATTTTACATGAAATATCTATGATATTGTTATTGTTATCATCATTTTCACCTTATTGGTAACTAAATGTTTATGTTTAAGATCTATTGTTTCATCATTAGAACTGGCTGTGTTTGTGTAAAAGGAAATATATTGTAGGGATACATGAGCTATAGGAATAAGCAGGGGAAATGTATTCCCCCAAAACAGTGCTACTCCTAGGAACTTAGTAATAGTCTTTCTCTGGGAACCCAGACCTCACAGTGTGAAGACAGGCTCAGGTGAGCCAGTTAGCCAAAATAATTGGTGTGGGATCTGTAAGGAAGGCATGCCATGCAGATATTACATTTGTGAAAAGGCAAGATAATTGGAATATGCTGCTGTCTCTTGCCTTATGCAGTACATTTCATGTTGAAAACTCTTCTGTGTGCCTATAGGAGCTTGAGGTCCAATTAATCCTATCCCACTACTAACATTACATGCTTTTCAATGTGTAACCCCTTAAGACTTGTTATCTAGCAATCATCAAAAATGTATTAAGATCCTAAATTTGTGCCAGGCTCTATGCTAGGCATTGGCTATACAAAAATAGAATATGAAACATTTTCTGCCCTCATGGAGCTTTCGATTCTACTGGAGGAAAATAACATTTATAAATACAAGTAAATACAAGATAGAAATGAAATGGAGTATTTGGGGAGGTGTCTAGCAGTTGGGGAGATTAGGACAAGTCTCCTGTAGGTGGCAGCACTTGAGTTGAGCTTTGAAGGAATCTTCTCTCACTGCTAAAACCCCTCGTGCACCCCAGAAGTCTTTAGCCTCTCCTAACGTATCCTCTGTGTTTTTTCTTTCATTCAAGCCTCTCACTGGCATACCCACTTGGGTAATATTTATTGCAAAGCTAAACGTGCTCCTTGTCCATAAGAAATTACATCACCATTATAATAATGTCGTGCAATAGGAGAACTGCAAAGGGCCTCAGAAGGCATCTAGTTCAACCCCTGAATTTTTCAGATGAGGAAACTGAGTCCAAATGAGATGACATAACTTAACCAAGGACAACGGCAGAATTTAGACCAGACCTTAAGTTTCCTCCTTCTTCATCCAGTGTATTGTTTCCACTCTATAAACCTGTAGGTGGGCAGCATAGGGGATAGAACACTGAACCTGAAGTCTGGAAGACTGAGTTCAAATCTAGCACTGGACACTTACTAGCTGTGTGATCCTAGGAAATCACTTAACTTCTGACTGCCTCAGTTTCCTGAACTGTAAAATGGGGATCATAATAGAACTTACCATCACAGTTGGTGTGAGGATCAAATGAGATAACATTTGTAAAGTGCTTAACACAATGCCCAGCCTATGGTAAGCACTTAATAAATGCTTGGTTATATATATAATATATATATATATATACTGTGGGTTAATGAGTAAAGCCCTAAAAACAAGAAAACATAAGTTATGGTGAAAAG